CCACCACCACCACCACCACCAACACCACCAGCACCAGCACCAGCACCAGCACCACCACCACCACCACCACCACCACCACCACCACCACCACCACCACCACCACCACCACCACCACCACCACCACCACCACTGAAGATATCATCATTGTCAATATTAATGTTACTAGGGCCAGTACTATTACGTTGTGTTCAGGTATGGGGTGAAGGCTGCTGTTTTTTCCATTGCCTCGGGCAGCAGTACCACGCATCTGCCTTGTTTCTTTACAACACGCAAGAGCCAATTTTGAAAGACTGCTGCAAAATCATACTGCATGATATGGCTGTTGAAGAAAGGTTTAGCTAAGTACCATAGTGGTACTTTTGGGCGTCTTAGGCATGTGTGAGGAACCACTCATGGGCGTGCAATACCAAAATCATATGCTCTGAGCGCACTTCCTAGACAGCAGACTCCTCAGCTCAAAGCTTTCTCCCAGCCAAGCTCAGGAAACTTGCCTCGAACTATCTTGAATCCTACACCCCCAAAGCCCCCAGCCATCGAACCCCATGCCAGGTCCTCAGTGAGCAGGCCAATGTGAGATCGCAACAGTCTGAGAGATGAACGCCTATAGCAACACGATCAGGATTGTGGGAGGGACTCTCCAGATTGATAATAGATTATTGTTGTGTGGCCACCTCAAGGGTGCGGTTCGGGCCCTGTGAAAAATTCTTCTTGTTTGATCTTCATTTCAGTTGGTCTGAAGTTGATGACAGCATGTTTATCAAGGTGTTTCGTCTAGGCACGAAGTCTCTTACGGCAGTGGGCCCGCGAGATTCTGTAAGTCTTCATGCTCAACTCCGCGGTGCAATCCGTCAAAGGCCATACAGAGTCTCATTTGTTAAGCTGTTGGGCTTGCAAAGCATTCAAGCTTAAGATGTAATTGAGACATGAAGAAGTCCTCGTGGGCCTTGATCTAACCTTCAAAGCGCTAAGCTCTCCACAGGCTACAGATGTTCTTCTTCTCTACTACTAGTGCCAGCTGCACAGCTTTCAATTGGAATTCTGTGTTGCAAGCAGGAAATTCCCGTGGAAGCCCTGAAATTCCCGTGGAAGCCCTGGCCTCTTGCTGTGCCTGTGCATTCCTTGTGATGCCGTCCCCCTATACGCGAAATCGTTCAAACCTTTCCATGCTGCCTCAGCCATGCAAGTGGCAACAAAGCCTAGTCCCTAAACCCTAACCCCTAAACCTTTACTTCCTAAAACATGAAGCCTTGCAAAAAACAACTAAACCCTAATCCCTCAAGTCGAAACCCTAAACCCTAGACCCTGAACCCTAATTCCTAAACCGCGAATCTGTAGAGACCTGAGGGTCAACCTGGCCGAGAACGTCCTCGACGCCGCGGCGGTAGAGGCAAGCGCCCCCCCAAAGGGCTTATGATATGGTTTTAGGACTTAGGGTTAAGAGTGTAGGGTCTAGGGTATAGGCTTGAGGGTTTAGGGATATCTATGAATTAGGAGTGGGGGGTCCCCCATATGGAGGTTTATAGTACTTGCGGGTCTATGTTGGGGTACCTCTATTTAGGGAAACTACCTTATAGGAGCTATGAGCCCAACCGAGATTCCTAAGATCTATGATGACTATAAAGGAAGTACGAGGAGACCTAGCGAGGGTTCTATCTTAGGAGGACCCCCCACCCGGTAATAGTGATATAATAAGAATATAAGATGACCCTAATATAATCCCTATTATCCCTTATAGTCACTATTCCTGGGTGGGGGGTCCACCTAAGTTCTATCATATGTACTGCGGTCGAAAAGCGAATGTGGGAACATATTACATGAGCTACGGTCCACACTAGCCGGGACCATTCAGGGTGGACATAGGGGTCCGTCTTGTAGTTTAGTATAGTCCCCAAGCTATTCCCAAACAAGCTGACTGAAGCTCATATAGGGATATCTATGCATAGGTAGGGGTATAGCGGGGCATATAGGCATGTATAGGGATATTTGAATTTGCAGGGCTAAGGTTAAATTATCCCGAAAAAATAATGGAGCAAGAATGGAAACAGCGTTGCAAATTAATTGGAAACTATGAAATTTAAGGATTGCATGGGGTTGTCGAGGGGAAATGCAGCAAGGGGAGGGATGTACAGGAGTAATCCTCCCACTGTGGTCCCTGTGTCTTTTTGTACTGCTGCGTGGGTTCATGTGGTTGTCCAAGGAGTAAACACATAAATCCTTGCTATTCATATGAGCGACGGACGAACTCCGTCTCTTGACACATGTCTAACTTCGGTCAGAATTCTCGAAATCATGCGTTTAACCTGCAACACGAGATGGTCCTCCCCAAATAACGAGATCAGCTTTCTTGTGTTTGATGCAAATTTGTTGGAGCACGAGATTCAAGTCCCGACTCAAGTGCTGTAAAACGAGATAGCAGGTGGATTGTGTGTTTGTATGTTGCACCCTTTACGGTCCAGGGTCCTCAGAAAAGTCGGACGCGGCGTCCTCATTAAAGCTCCCTCTGTTCTGAAGACTCTGGGGCTTGTCGAAGGAGATGATCTTGTTGTCTTGGGTGCCCAAAGCAGAAGCGGGGTTTCCGAACAGATGTCTGAAACTCATTCAACGGGTCCCACATATTGTTGCGGGGGTCTCTTCACTGATTTGGGTGTGACATTAGGGGCTTCTCGGAAGTATTGGTTTCTTGTGGATTGGGATCTTGACGGTTTCACGTGACCTGTTTGATAGACATCAATAAGGTCTTAAGGTTTTCCAGGACAAGGGCTTGAAAACACTTCGGGTCTTGATGTATGGTAATTTCCCAACAATAGGACGGCCCCAATATAAACCAAAAATACTATTACCCCCTAAACCCTGGACCCTCATTATTTTAGGGACCCCCAAAAAGGTACCGCTGTTGTTGGCCGCAAGCCCTGTGCAAACCGCACATCCAAAATTGTAAGCGCCAAGCCTACCCTGGCCATCATAGCTTTTTAATTGGGTGGATAACAGCTACCTGGTAACAATACAATATAGTAGCCATATAGTAGAAATGAAGTACTAATATAGTCGTAATAGTAATAACCGTAATTTAATACTAATAGGGGGATCATAGTGTGCAGTGATCGACGTCTGGTGACAGCAGAGATTATGGCGCTGCTCAGCAGTTCCGTTTTCAGGAGTTGTTTTTGCCGTCGGTGATGGCGGTTGTGATATCAGGGCACTACCGGCACTAGCGGCACCAGGAACAGGGGGAGTTGCCTGGCACAAATATCATGCAAACCTTCCTGTTTAGACAGACTGGCGAAAATATCATGTAAGTCTTCTTGTTTAGCAAGACTGGCGCGGAGGCCATGCTGAACATGTCGCCCAAGGGCAGGGTGCAGGAGCAGCCTCAGGAGCTGCCTGGCAGCATGAGCTTACCGTCAACCATCCCTTTGGATACATTTTGTTCTTGCAGCTGTGCTCCTCAGGTGTCAGGGCCACGCGGCTACTGTGTAGCGTTTCACAAGTTGCGTTTTTACGGGAAGGAAACTTTTGGAGGGCTCTAGAGCTCTGTCTACAGTGTCAAGGCGAGGTACTTGTGTGACTTGAGGCAGAGAACTACAGATTTGAAGTGGTTCAGGTAGCGAAGGAAGGGATGAGCTCTCGGGTGGTTCTGGGCTCGTGTCTAGATTCTTGGGGCGAGGACTGGTTTAGACCTGTTCGGAGGCCCATCTCAAAAAGAAAGCTGCTGACGTAGAGCTTGCAATTCGGAATTGGCGTTGCAGCATGTTGCGCGCGGAGAGTTGTAGCTTTAGAGATTTGGCTCAGGGAGTTTTTGCAATGACAACGACAACTGGGGGGTCGGCATTTGGTTGGAGAAGTTGTTGCTGTTAGTGGTTGGCGGCTTGCTCCCATGAAAGGTCTACAGATTTGGGGGTACTCAGTGGGGTTTTTATGCCGGTTGCCCGCTGATGGAGTGGAGCGGAGGCAAAGTAGCTGGAAGCCTCCGTGCCTTCCTTCATTCAAATCTGTAGCAGCAATCTCGAGCCAGCTGGAACCTGCTGCCTTGCCCAGCTCAAGGCGAAAGGGGCCTGCAGATGTGTATGATCTCACGGGAGCTAGGTGACAGAACCAGACACGCGCAGTGCTCGCATGCAGGCATGGCTTCCACAAAGCACCAGAACACGAAACAGGCCTGAGTCACAGTGTGGTGGAGCAAGGGTCTTCAGGCCAATGCTCTCTCCCTAGGGTTCTACTAGAATTCTGCAACGCGGAAAGTCACATCTAGACTTTGCAGTTAGACACACAGACCAGAAACACAGCGAATCGTCCGCATCCATTTTTCGTCGCAATGGCCTTAGCAGTCAGAGCTTCGCAGCCGCTGGGGCTCCGCCCTGCGGAGCAGCTGGAATGTGCTGCTCCCGCAGAGACCCTCTGCTTGAGGGAGAATGCCGAGGAGGAGGCCAAGGAGAGTTGCTCTAAGCCAAATACATTTTCATATTTCAGCTATGGAGCACGTATCTTTACAGAGAGCAAGCAGATGTTTAGCCTAAGCAGTTATTATTACTATGGTTGTCATTCTTACTATTATTACCCTAATTAGTATTCTTACTATTATTACTACGGTAGTCCAGGAGAATTGGCAATATCAGAATCTGCTGTCGGTGGCCTCCTCTCAGCTCCAGCGCTTGGAGCAGCATGGTGCCCTCAGAAAAAGCCCAGGCCACTGGGTTCCAGTGTAGGAGTTTTAGAGGATTCCGCTTCCAGCGTACGAAAGGGCATCTAAAATTCTGAACAGGATTTTGGGGGCAAATTATATTGAAGGTAGAGAAGAAGGATGGTGAGTATTCAGGATCCTTTCTCGATTTTCCTTTTGGATGGTTTTGGTTTTCCTGTCAGCTGTCATACTCTTCTGCGGGTGCATGCCGTCTAAGTTACCCCAAGAGTCTCCTGATAATTTCAAGTAGGGGACAGTCCTTCCTCATCCGTTGTGTCCGAAAATACCAACAGCAGCTTGAGGGCATATGACGTATCCCCCAAAATCCGAGCTATAGTCACAGACCTCCAAAATAACCCAAGCATACAACAAATACCCACATTGGGCCCTAAAGTCTGCAAAAAATACGTCTTAGAGGGATCCAGAGCCAGGCTACGACTTGTCGGATCCCTGGCTGGTCGCGGGATCAGAAGCCGATGGGGCTGCTTGATCATTGTTGAGCTCATTCTTTACATAATCAATTCACATACTTTTGAGTAGTCCAGCCCAGAAAAATACCCCCAAATACTATGATCCCTATTTAAGGACCCCTCAACAGATACCCCTGATTTTGGGAAACCTCTTTCGCTTCTTTGGTTGGAAGGGCCGTTTCAGCAGCGTCCATAGTCACCTGGAGTGGGGCCGCCAGCTAGAGTTGAGAGCCGAGGCTTAGTGTGGACCCTTGTTCCGTAGAACCACACATGTATCCCAAACTTAGGGGTACCTTTTAATTCGGAGTCCCTCTAGTAAGGATTATAGTTTTGGGGGGCTCTATATGGGCTTGCCCTCATCGTGAGAAACTACAACATGTAGCCAACAGTGGAGGAAGAAGTGGGGCAACAAAATGGACGACTCGTTATCATTGTCTGCCGAATTCGGGTACCGAAAACCCTAAACCCTAAACTACTTGCAATTACCAATGAACCCTCCAAGTGGGCTCCCAGGCGAAGTCGGGCAAGTCCCGTGAATTCGCGCGCCTATCAGTTCCTGGGTTGCTGCTAAGGAACCTAAGTTAAGTTACTGTAATGAGGAAACCCTAGTATATGCATATACTATATACCCACTATATACCAGGTTCCTGGCATGCCATGCCAGCTGGTGGGGGAGGTGGCACGGCTTCTTTGATTTCAAGGTTTAGCAGAGCTTTTTTCGATGTTGTGTTGGCTGCATCCACCACAGTTACCCCAAGAAAGAGGTTAAGCTACATGAGCAAAAGCCTCGCTTGAGAACTTGGGGACCCAGGATTGTGGCATATTTGGGCCCTGCTGGCGCCACCAGCAGCAAGCCCTCGCCTGCCCAAGCTTGTGACGTCCGGCTACCTGAAGGCACCGTGGCCACGTACCCGCGGAGCCGGTTGCTGCCTCTCCCCACCAGGCTTGCGCGATTGTACTTTAAGGGGACGCGTGTGTACCATGATAAGGGCCCTCATGGCTCCAATAGCAAAAGGTGACCCATGTGTTTTGACAGCCAAACGAGATTATAGGGGTCCATGTTGGGGTCACCTGTCCATGGAAACTGCCACATCACATGCATGAAGACAAGCTAAGGTGGCAGAAAATCATATGTGGAAGACTTTCTGAATCTTTGGGTTGTTCCTACGCAAGGGCCATCATGCCACCGTAATCCACATCATAATGATTCTTTTGAAAGGTGCCTCTTTCAAGTTAGCAAACGTTTGTTAAGTGGCTAAAACCAGGCCAGCATTGCAGGGTGACTGGGCTTTGGCTGTGGATTTGCGAGGGGCTCTGGAGCACTTCAACGGCTTCAGATGCGATTTTCGGATCATTGTCTGAGAAAACTTTCCATTTCAAAATTATGTGTTTCATGAATGTGTCCCCAGGAGGTGCTAGACATGATGATTTGAAGTATGGTTTCATTGGTGACCCAGGTTTGTGGAATTGGTGCTCGCACCGCCAGCAAGGAGCAGGGCTTCTGGGTCATGTTTGAACCCAAGGAGGCTGGAGCGCGACCACACTTGGAGCTGCTGCCTAAGGCGGGTGGAAACTTCAAAAGGATCTCAGCAGGTAGTGAATTGAAGCTTCTCAGAGATCCCTGGCTTGTCACTTAAGCCCTCAACGTAAGACACAAGATGTATTCGCCTTTCATTTATCATCACACGCTGTCCCTGTGCAATACGTACGCTTCACAATCCCTATGTTGGGAGATTTTCAACAGAACATCTTTAAACTCCCCCTTATGATCCCTATATATCCCTGGGGCACCTAGTCCTCTTTTGAGAAGCCCCCACATCTCTTTTGAGAGACGCCCACATCGCCCCCCAGGCTAACTTGGTTGCACTTGCGGGCCCCTCACCTGGCTCCTGCCAAACTCCATGGGAAGCGCGCTTAGCTAGCACCTTGCCTGTAAACACACGACGTACCACCACCACCACCACCAACACCACCGCCGCCGCCGCC